TGCCAATGCAGGACTTGATCCCAGGACCCTGGGATCATTACCTGAGCCCAAGGTGGACACTTACCTGACTTAGCAATCCAGGCTCCCCTAACTCCACCTCTTAATATGTCCACATTCTACCAACACTCACTACCTTTAACTTATGGATGAGGAAGAGAAGACTGAAAGGAAAAAAACCCAAAACTATGGGTTACCTTATTTTTCCCTTTCTTGCTATGCCATTTTCAGCATAAGTGGTTAGAACTAATATAAAGAAGTAATGGAAGTAAGAAAGGATATGGTAGGTCATTTGTGTTAGAACACTACTGTCTTCTTTCTTAATACCTGCTTATCAACTGGTTTAAGAGTCAGAGTTCCTGGACGTATTTGCAAGTCAGTACAGGCCCTCAGCCCACAGGGAAACCAGAAGTGATAATTAAGCACCATGACTCGATGGAGTGCTCAGGAAGGAGACATGGCAGAGGGACAGCAAAATCTTGTCTTCTCCTCACCAATAAAAGGTGAATTATAAAGAGGGAAGGAGACTTACAAACTCTGTTTCATACTAAACAGTGTTCTGAATGAGGTCCAATCAGTACAATACAAATTTGAATAATTTACTATTTTAACTAATTACGGAATCGTAACAGGTTAGTTATCTTTATATCTACCTCCTCATCCTTATCTTGAAAAAAATCGCCTCCTATTTCACATGTCAGGCTTAAACAGTTATGGCGATTGGGCATTCAATTTAACTCAAAATTTCCTGGCAACTAATGTGAGAAAATAAAACTATAAAGGAAAAGAAAGAATGATAATGTTGTAAACAGTCTTTCATTCACTCATCTGTAAAAAAAAAAAAAAGCTCAGAATAAGAAATAAACAGAAAGGTTACTGTCTAGTTTCATATCATCTACAAATTATTACTTGTCCTCGATTTGGGAGAATCTATGTAAGTATAACTGGTTTATTGGAGTAGAAACATGAGCTGGCTTTATTTTTCCCAGGGCCTGCTCCCTGATGGTGGTTGGTTGAACTTCTCTTTCTTTCTTACGGGTAGCTCTCTTAACAAATTCTCTCTCTTTTTTTTTTTTTTTTTTTTAAGATTTTGTTTAGTTATTCATGAGATAGAGAGAGAGGCAGAGACACAGGCAGAGGGAGAAGCAGGCTCCCTGCAGGGAGCCCGACGTGGGACTCGATCCCGGGTCTCCAGGATCACACCCTGGGCTGAAGGCGGTGCTAAACCGCTGAGCCACCCGGGCTGCCCGAAATTCTCATTTTGATCTCTAATTTTTTATTCTCCTCCAGGTTGTGAGAGTTCTCTCAGTATTTAAGATTCAATTCTGCTCAAATCTCCATTCTCGCATCTGATGCTCGTGTCTCCTTACTTGACCCAGTGCGGTTGTCAGACTCCTTGTGCCTGTCCTTGCTTCCCTGGATAGCCCTGACTGGCCATCAGCACCAGATATGGCAGAAATTTGATTGCTGGTTACTTTTGGGGTGAATCTGAGAGCCCTGAAGGAAACTGCCCACAATATGATCACTAGGTGTGGGAGAATTAGACCCTGGAACAGTCTGCCTTTATCTCACTGTCTGAGTCTGCTCAGGCTGCTATAACAAAAAATACCATAGACTGGGTAGCATAAACAGCAAACATGTATTTCTCACAGTTCTGGAGGCTGGGAAGTCCAAGATCAACGTGCCAGCAGGTTTGGCGTCTGGTGAGGCCTGCTTCCTGGCTCACAGATGGCTGTCTTCTCCATGTGTCCTCATATGGCAGAAGGGACAGGGGATCTATCTGGGGTCTCTTTTATAAGAGCACTAGTGCCATTCATGAGAGTTCCACCCTCGTGACCTAATCATCTCCCAAAGGCCCTCAGCTTCTAATATCATCATATTGAGGTTTCAACATACAAATTTTGGGGGCACACAAAAATTCAGTCTACAGGACCCACCCAGGTGTCTGTGAGGCCATCCTCAGATGGTCTACAGCCAACAGATGCTCCCAGAGGCCTCTTACCTGGCACCCTGTTAGGTGGCCCAAACCCAGTCACCTTCCCCTGCTGATATTTTTATTGGGCACAGTAGGTGGCTAGCTGCTTCACAGCACCCCCTTCTCAGTTCTGACAATACTGTCTTCTTCCTCCTTTTCCAAGGGTATGAGGCACTCCTGCAGAAAGAGATGGTTACCACCTGCCCAGGGGTGGGGACAGTGAAGGAGGGAAGAACATCTCTTCCTGATCAGGAAACTCTTCAAAGGCCAGCCTCCAACACCTTCTAGGCCTCACCCATGGAGCAGGCACATGGGGTGGGGGAAAGCAGTGCTTGGTAGGATTAATTTTCCTGTTCTCAGTAAGCCCTAGGCTGATCCATAACAGCTCCTGGGATGCTAAATTCAGAATGTGGTATGTTTGATACCCAGGTTTGGGCATCCATCTGGATTCCTGAATGACATGAAAAAAACCTTCCTCAACATTTTATGGTATAAGTACCTGCACTGAAACCATATTATCGACCAACAATTATCGGTAACCTGCCTTTATCTTGAGCCTTGTGCTAAGATCCACAGTGAATACGAAGGCTTTAAATATATATTTTTTGCAGGCAAAATGGTACAGATTAATAGGGAGACTGATCAAATATGTTAACAAAACAATGAAGAAAAACAAATACCCAGAACAATTACGGTAGCGTATGCTTTAATGTCATACCCATTTTGCAGAGGAAGGAACAAGGCATATGTATTTAAATGGGATGAAACTAGATGTCTTCACTTTATCCATGCTTTACAATTACTTTTTATTTGGAAAAAATTTACAGAAGAGTTGCAAAAATAGGATAGAATTTTCATATATCCTTCACCCAGCTTTCCCTAATGTTAACATCTTACATAACCATGATACAATTATCAAAACTAAGAAATTAACATGGATGTAATAGTATTGACTAAAATATGGACTTTTTGAATGTTACCATTTTTTTTTTATCCCACTAATGTCCTTTTTCTGTACCAGGATCCAGTCCAACTTATCATTACTCTATATACCTAGTCATCATGCCTCCTGGGCAGCCTCCAGTCTGTGACCGTTTCTCAGTGTTTCCTTGTCTTTCATGACTTTTAACACTTTTAAGAGTTCAGGTCAGGTATTTGTAGAATGTTAAGCAATCTGGATTTTTTCCTCATGATAAGAATAGGGTTTTGTGGACTTTGGGGAAGGATACTATAGAGGTGAAATACCCTTTTCCTTGATCATATAACAATGTGATTTGTAAGTGGTGAGTTACCCTTGACCACCCTTTAACTACCCTTGGTTGAAGTGGTGTCTGCCAAGTTCCTCCACTCTAAATTTGCTTCCCTCTCCTACACTCCCCCCTTCCATGTTCTATTTGTCAGAAAAGAGTCACCAAATCCAGCTCACACTCCACACCGAAGGGGAGGGGAATTAAGTTCCCGGGGAAGTATTGATTCATTTGTGGATGTGTGTTAAAGTCATCACAGTAAAGTACAAATATTGGAAGGGAGATCTTTGAGGCTAAGCAACTATCTTACTTCTCTCTAATGTGTCATCCACTAATTTTAGCATTCACTAAGACTTGCCCACAGCAATTATTCTGTGGTGTCCTTTTTAAAAATTATTTTTATTTTGTTATTTTTTTAAAAAGATTTTATTTATCTATTTGGGAGAGAGGAAAGAGCATATGAGCAGGTGGGTGGGATAGAGGAAGAGGGAGAAATAGACTCCCCTCTGAGCAGGGAACCCAACACTGGGCTCCATCCCAGAACTCTGGGATTGTGACTCGAGACAAAGGCAGACAACCAACTGAGCCACTCAGCCACCCTTAAGTTTTTAATTCCAGTTTAATTAACATACTGTTCTGTGGTGTCTTAGTAGTGATTTTGTTTTTTCCTCATTTCTTCTATATTTATTATTCAGAATTCATCTGGAAAGAAGATTTCTCCCTTTCTTCCATTTTATTCACTTGTTGATATGGACTCAAGAATATTTATTTTGTTCTAAGTTATACATTTATATCATAATTTCTTTTTATTGCTGAGATTGTTCTACCTTTGCCTTTGGGAGCTCTTTTAGATGGCTCCTTCCAACATACCTTCATATTTTCTTGTGTTTTCTTCCCCTGCCACCCTCCTCTCTTTTTCTTTCTTTCCTTTCTTTATCTACAAGATGGTCTAGTTCCCCCAGGTCTATAAGTGGCCATTTTTCCAAGGAGCTCTGGTTCCTTTTGTTGAGAATGATATTTAGAAACTAAGAGCTGGCTGCTAAGTGTGTTCATTGCTTCTTGGGTATCAATTCTTCTAGACCCTCTGGTGGGATAGAACTAAGAAGTATACGTATGCTAGCCCATGTATACACATCTCTATATTTATTTCTGTATCTATTCATATATATATATATATAAAAGATTTTATTTATTTGACATGGAGAGAGTACAAGCAGGAGGAGCAGCAGAGGGAGAGGGAGAAGCAGATTCCCAACTGAGCAGGGAGCCGGATGCAGGGCTTGATCCCAGGATCCTGAGATCATGACCCGAGCCGAAGGGAGATGCTTAACCGACTGAGCCACCCAGGTGCCCCTATTCATATATATATTAAAATAAACAAGAGTTCAGACTCTACCTCCAAATCTAGTCTGGCACCACAGAGTTCATTGTAGCCTTTTCTACTCGCTTATTTGTCACCTCTTGTTCTGATAGTGAGAAACCCGTCTCTCCTTATCTACATTTATTTACTTGTTCAATCTTAGCATACATTTAACGTAGTTTCAGAATTGCTAGACTATATTCCTCTGAGATATGAATTTACCAGCTAGAGTGCAGTGTTTACGTACAGTTTGTATGTCTTTATCTTACAGTTTCTTTTTATTTTTTTTTTTAGTTTTATTTTTTATTTTTTTATTTTTTTTATCTTACAGTTTCAAGTGAAAGCATAGTTTTCCAAAGTTAATTAGGCCAGCTCCCCCCCCCACCCCCGCCTTCAGTGAGGCTATATCATCCATCTGTAATATAGTTAGGTTTGTTTGTCTTAATCTTCATTCCATTATGGCTTCCCCTGATAGAGTGGTTAATTAAAAATTTTTACATATAATAAAAGTCACTCGTTGTGCTATATAGTTTTTTGTGTTTTGACAAATTCACAGTCATGCATTTGCCACCACAGTACCCGTACAGAAGAGCCCCATTAACCTAGAAATTCCTTTGTAGTAAACTTCCCTTTGCCTAAACCTGGCAAACGCTAATTAATCTGTTTTCCATCCTTAAAGTTTTGCCTTTTCCAGAATGTCATATAATTGGAATCACACAATTCGTAGATTTTTTTTTAGGCCTAGCTTCTTTCACTTACCAAAATGCATTTAAGATTTGCCCGTGTTGTTGCTCAAACCAATAGTTCATTCCTTTTTTATGTTCAGTATAGATAACCTTATTACATGGATATACCACAGTTCATTCTCCCATTTACGTGTTAGAGGACTTCTGGGTTATTTCTAGTTCTGGCAGTTATGAAAAAAGCTACTATAAATAGGCATGTATGGGTTTTTGTATGAACACAAATATTCAATTCTCTTGGATAAACATCTAGTAGTGGAATGGCTGGGTTGTATAAGTGTATGCTTCTGAGAAACTGTCACCTTGCTAAAGTGGAGAGTACAATGAAAGACAGTTCTAATGTCCCACATATTCCCTAGCGTTTGATTGTCCACACCCTTTTTCAACTGGAAACTGCTGTCCCACCCCAACTCCGACTTCTCCATTCTTTTTGGCCTCTGCCTGGATCACAAGCTGATCCATATTCTCACTTTGCATCCTGCTGGTATCCGCGAAGGTAATGATTTTAGACCACTTCATGTTTCCACTGTACACTAAAGTACTACTACATTTTTAATCTACTAATTGTCCTATAGGGGAGTTTCAGCAAACATTCTTAGGTTGGTATGAGAGATAATAGCACCCTGCTTGAGAAGAATTCCCTTCTGGCTTTCTCAGACATTGGCTTTTGTGAGTTCCCTAACTTCTGTGCGTCTCAGCATTTTTGTAGTCTACCTGAATGAACCACTGAGATATATAAGGATGGCCAGCGATCTTTACCAGACCTGGTAGTGGCCATGGGTCTGGCAAGCATAGCCTACTCCACAGAGCTCTTCAGCTGGGTTTCTGGGTCCTAATTCATCAGGAAGGAGTTATGTGTCTGGTCCCTGCTTGGAGTCCCTGTCTTCTGACTTGACAGCTAGCACATTCTCATAGTCACTAGAAGTGTCATTTGACATGTCTTCTTCGTGTTTCATCTGACTACTCTCACTCTGTGCAGATGGCTGACAGGTCACATGTTCCCCTAGAGCCAGGAAACTCCCTGATTTCACAACAAATTGGAGGTGGGTACCTGGACCGTCCATCCTGCCTTCTGTGTTTGAGGATGTCACGTCTTCCTCCCCCTGCTGCTGGTTTCCATTGGTGTGTGCTGGTGGAACATTTTCATAATCTCTATAGCACTGGAAAACCAGACAGGACTGCTTCCCCTGGATGGTCTCAAGATTCAGCCCTGCCATATTGACATAGTCATTCGAGGTCTCCGAAGAGTCTTCCCCATCGCTGAGTGGATCATTGCTTTCAGACTTTAGAGACCCAAAACTGATGTGGTCACTGGCATTCCCACAGCCCTTGTCTCTTTCCTCAGTAGACTCCAGCTCCTGGGTACTTGGGAGGGCAAAGAGGCCCGTGGGGGTGCTGTCGGTAGAAGCTTGAGCCTTAGCAATCTCTTCTGCTGTGGGCACATTGATGTAATCTCTTGAATCCTCTGAAGAAATGCTCAGGCAGTCTCTGGCTGCTCTGACATTGACATAGTGTGCTGAGGGAGTGAGGTCCCCACACATCTGGAGCCCCGTGGCATTGTCATAGATGCCCACTGCATAGCTGTTGGCATGAGTATGGTCTCTGTACAGCCAGAGGGCATTGCCTGCTTGGGAGGGCTATAAGCAAGAAGAGAAAGCCAGTGACAGGACTGAAGCAGAAACACAGGTGAAGCCTTTCTACTTCCCCACCCAGGACCACTATCTCATAGTTCCTTCACTTTGTTCCTTACCTTGTAGAACATCTCTAAGTTGGAGGTCTCCAGTTGCAAAGCTTTAGATCATGGGCAGGTATGAGTAGTGTGGGCTAAGTTTAGGGAACACGACAGTGTAAATGTGATGATAAATTGCTGCTGGTTTTTGGTCACAGTGTGGGTGTTCAGTGGGGAGTCTGTAGAGGGGAATAGTATGAACTGGGGAGAGCCGCTACCTGTGAGCGTTGAGAGGCAATAGAGTACAGTGGCTAAAAGTAGTGACTCAGCCTTAGACTCAGGATGGAAATCCCAGCCTCGCTACTCTGTGCCGAGTTTGGGCAAAGTCACCTAATCTCTTTGTGCCTTACCTCCCTCGCAAATAAAAAGGGGATAGTCATAATATCCACATGATATGTTTTTTGTGAGGAGTAAGTGTGTGACTATGCATAAAGTGTTGGGAATAGTTTCTGGCACATGGAAGACACTAACAAATGGTTGTTATTATTAAAGGGGCAGCTGGCATATGGACCCAGCCCATTGTGGCCATTTAGGGATGCCGGTCTGATGTTTCCAGAGCTTCTGACTTTTCAAGAAAAGCTGGACATCCAGATTTTAATGTGAAATCTTTTAGATTTTTAAATGTTGGCGACTGGTTCCAAATGTTCTTCATCTACTACACAGTCCGTAGCCAAACATGTGTTGTGGCCTCATATCAGTTTGGGATGGAGTGCTAGAACTCGCTTTGGCAGGGACGTTTCTTCCTCCCTGCACATTATCAGCCATGCAAGCTTGGTCCCCCAGGAGTTTGTAGAGGTGAGAGCAGAGCCCAGCCCGAGGATGGGATATGTGGGAGGAGCACTAGGGGTGTCCAAGTGCTAACTGAACAGTAAAGCTCTGGGTAGTGAGAAGCTGGGCAGCAGCAGGATCAGCAGCAGCAGTAGGACTGTGTTCATCTGAGATGACCACAGAGCCAAGGGACCGATTCTTCAACAAGCAAGTGAGAGCTTATCTGTTGGAGATGAGGCCCCTGAGCTTCCAGGTCCCCCCTTTCCTGTCTTGGGTGTCTCTGCCCCACAGTGTTGTGGGGCTCCTCCTTGAGGGCTGCCTTTAGAGCCAGATCACAGGCCACACTAGGTCATTGTTATTCATTGTAGTGTTCCCATGGTAACGTCAAAAATACCCCACGTTTGATCAAACACTTTCTACACCAGCTACCGTCCTCAATGACTTACAGACATACCTGCTATTGAGGATAATTGAAACCATTTGCCATGGGCCCCAGAAGTAATTCCCAAAAGCAGGGTTTTAAGGATGTTTTGAGCACCCACAGCATTGCTGGAATATTTGTATCCTCTCTCGAGGTAGGATACAGCGTTGGAAGGGGACAATACTCATTTGAGTGAGCTGTTACCCTTGTTAAAACAATACATTTCCATTCTAACACCGAATCTTTGAACACATGTGCCCTGGTATCTTACTTAGAATCCTGAGCCACTGTTCCTACCTTTCCTGATTTTTGTCCCTGGGCAGTAGGGAGGTCCCTGAGGCTAGTCTTCCCGATTTATCAATAGGGCCACAGGGCCACTGCCAGGGGACATGTCGTTTGCCAGGAAAGGAGATCTGTGACCTGAACTTATTTACCCCAGTTCTGCCAGAGACATGTCCTCTCTCCCAAGGGGCTTGTCCTCTCCCTTGACTCTTACCACAGCATCAGAAGGAGGGCTATCATAATTTCTGGAAAGGAGGCTCTCGGTACTGAAAATATGGTTACTCCTTGACTGCCGTCTCCCTGAAAGGACAGAGAACAAACCCTGAAGATAGCCAGCCAGTCCCCTGAGCGCTTCCACCTCGATGGTCCCCGCATTGTGGTTGATGCGGGTTTGTGTGGTGTCGGTATTTGAGGCCGGTGTTCTGTGGTGAGAGGGGCAGAGCTAGGGAGAATGATGTGCTCTGAGGCCTGGGACTGTCCTCTGTTTTTAACAAGGACCAAAAAAAAAAAATAATAATAATAATAATAAGGACCAGAGGACACTAATTAGCACAGAGTTTAGAGCAGCTGGGGAGGAGGCTCCTGTAATGCCAGAGGCCATGCTCTTCTTCTGTATGTGTCCCCCATTCTTGGGCATACCCATCCGTCCTTTGCTTACTTCATATCAGGACAAATAAAAAAAAAACAAAAAAACCCGACCCAGACACCTCCCAGCTCCCTTTTTATAGCTCTGTAGGCCCCTAATGGAGTTACAGCCTGCTTCTGACTATCCCGTCCTCCTCCACGCTCCCTGAAGGGCAGAAAGGTCTGAAAATGTAAAGAAAGTTGCTTCTGAAAAAAAAAAAAAAAAAAAAAGTTGCTTCTGGGGCAGCTGAGCAGTTTAGTGCTGCCTTCAGCCCAGGGCGTGATCCTGGAGATCCAGGATCGAGTCCCACGTCAGGCTCCCTGAATGGAGTCTGCTTCTCCCTCTGCCTGTGCCTCTGCCCCTCTCTCTCTTGCTCTGGGTCTCTCATGAATAAACAAATAAAATCTTAAAAAAAGAAAAAAGGTGCTTCTGGGTATGAGAGGTGCATTCTGGATGAAGTTCAGTAACATTTGTGCTCTGCAGATTAGAAAGAAAAAAAACCTACCCAGCTCTCCTTGCCTCTGGGGTAAGGAGTCATAAATATTTTTGGCTCCTTGTCTGGGTCGAGACAGAGAAAGTAAGGGCATGACGGTAACTCGGAAGTAAGGAATGTGTCCTGCAAGACAATGAGAGAGATGGAGATCTCAGTGGGGGCAAGTGGTACCGAATGCAGGGACCCTTAGGGATGAGATAGTCCCTGAAAATATTCCCCATCCTCACTATGTATCATAAAAAATACATTTTCACACTTGCCCAATTCCATTTGAGCCAGAAGACTGGGAGAAGAAGCAAGTGGGCAAGTAGGGGGTGGTGGGAAAGGGTGGGCATAAATGTCTCAGGGCAATGACCTGCAAAGTGGAACTCTGATTGGCACTGAGCCTTTCAGGGCCATGGCTTAGACTCTCAAAAGTGAGACAATGGCCAGTGTGTCAGGGAAGAGCAGAAGAGAACAGAGTTTATGTCTGGAGAATAAACTTGGCCTTGAATGCCAGGCTAGATGGTGGATCCTCGTGTGTCTCCACTTGGGACAATCAAAGGACTCACGCTGCTTCTTCCATTTATTCCAGTTCCATAGGCTGTAGAAGATCAGAGTGGTCAGTAGGACGGCAAGGAATCCTGCAAACCCAGAAAATATGGCTCTGCTCTGGTCTTTCTCTCTGTGGGGAAAAACAAGGGCCATTCTCCAGCTGTAGGAGGCTGAGAAGGCTGGAGAAAGGTTTTCTGCAGGAATTGGAGCCTGAGGACTTGGAATGGGAGCCGGCCGGAAAGCTGAGGTGGGTAGGCTGTGTGGTTGAAGAGGGTGTCTTCATTGTGGACAGAAGGAAGCTGGGCATTACCCCTTTGGAAGCCCTACTGGATGCCAGGGGTTTGCGTGTGTGTGAAGCTCATTTAATCTTTACAACGTCTCATCTCTCCTTGTGGCCAGAAACCTGAGATTGAGACTCAGAGAGGCCGAGTGATATATCAAAGATCACACAGGTGGGAAGGAGCAAAGATGGAACGTGAGTCTAGGTCTGTTGGGGCCCAAAGAGTGTGTGCTCTTTCCAGTGTACCACACTCTCCTCCAAACTGGCAAAATCAGGTTCACCTGCCCTTGCTTCCTCCTCACTCCCTACTCCTTGGTGTCCTGTCTTGTGTGGAAGAGGGAGCTGCTCTGGGACAGAGTCCGGCTGGCGGGCATTTGAACAACCCCCGTGTATAGACTTGCAGAACTGGTCTCCAACAATACTTGCTGTTTTGTGGAATGTGACCCACACAAATGCAGGAGTGAGTTTCTGCTGCTTGTGGTTCCCTGACAGCACTGGGGTTGCTGCTCTGCTTTGCCTACTGGAACAAGAAGAAGCCAATGGAGGATACAGCAGGAATGGCCAACAGGTCAGCTAGTCCTAGGCTTGTTTACCCAATTCTCCTGGACATTTCTGCTAAACTGCCCAATGGACATCTCAAACCAAATATGTCTGAAACAGAATGCCTGTTCTTCCCCCATAAGCCTGCTTCTCCTCTGGTGTCTCCCATCATCTAGTGGTTGGAGCTATCCTTGACTGCTCCTTTTCTTTCACACCTCAATTATTCAGTCAACCAGAAAATTCCATCTGCTCAACTCTGGGCATCTTTCCCAAACCCAGACACCTCCACTCCTCCATTGCCACTCCTTGCTTCCACATGGGTCTTTGCAGTAACCTCCCTAGCGCGTTGCCTTGCCTTCACTCTTGACCCCCACATACTACCTTCACACATGAGCCTGCATGATCCTCCTCACAGTAAACCAGATCACGTCCCCTCTCTTCCTGTGACCCACATGACTTTGATCACACTTGGGATAACATCCACAATCCCTACTCAGCGAGGACTTCATGGCCCCTTATGGTCTAGCCTTTGCCCTCCTCCTCCTCTTCTTTTTTCTTCTTCTTCTCTCTCTCTCTTTTTAAAGCATTTATTAATTGAGGGATGCCTGGGTGATTCAGCGGTTGAGCATCTGCCTTGGGCTCAGGTCGTGATCCCGGGGTCCTGGGATGGAGTCCCACAACGGGCTCCCTGCAGGGAGCCTGCTTCTCCCTCTGCCTGTGTCTCTGCCTCTCTCTGTGTCTCTCATGAATAAATAAAAATAAAATCTTAAAAAAATTATTATTTGAGAGAGAGAGGAGGGGTAGAAGGAGTAGGAGAGAGAATCCCAAGCAGGCTCCAAGTTGAGCATAGAACCGATGCAAGGCTAGATCCCATGGCCCTGAGATCATGACCTGAGCCGAGATCAGGAGTTGGACACTTAACCTCCTGAGCCGCCCAGGCGCCCCTCTGCCTACCTTCTGACCTCATTTCCTACCACTTTCCTTCTGACGTGGACAGCCAGGACTCCTGGCTGGTCCCTGTCCATGCATAGCACACTGCCACCTCAGACCTCCAGGTCCTCTCCCAGGGTGGGGGTGGGGGGGCAGGTAGCTCCATCTCTCATTTCCCTCAAGTCTCATCTGAAATATCACCTGCTCAGACAGGCCTATTACTCCCAGTCCCCTTAACTCTGTTCTGGTGACATTTTATTATATATCCATTTGTTTGTCCATATCTGACTTTCCTACTTGACTGTAAGCTCCAAGAAGCCATGGACTTGTCCATCCTATTTACCTGGTACCTGGGACAGTGCCTGGCACTTAGCAAGGGCAGGGTGAATATTTGTGGAATAGATGAGTGACTTAGTAAACACGAATGAACATAGAAGTAGTTATCTGGGGGGGGGGGGGCTTCAGGGTTCTGACAGCTTCATAAATTCAGTCCCCATCCATGCTCCTTCCACCTGCAGGTGACATATATGTGTTTGTCATGATAATACATTTATTTCCCTAAACGACAGGGATTTGAAATTTATTATTGCTGAGTTGCACTGTTATCACAGCACTGAGATTCCTACCCACAAGTGTTAAAGTTTCAACCTCTCTTGGACTTTTTATGTGTCTTAGTATGATCCCGCAAGTTTTAGCAATAAAATGTGTAGCCATGCTGAGTTCTGTGAGATTTTATATCCTAAAGACATATCTTTATACATCGATGATTGCATTTTCCATGCATGGAAAGTTTTTAGGACCTAAAAATACAGACTGAAAGAAAACAGGCCTGTTGTTTCCATCATGGTGGCTCCTAATTTTTGAGGGGGAAGGAGGAGAGTGGTCGTTGGGACCTGATACGGGGAAGATTGAGGACAATGACTGGGACCTCTGGGAGGTAAGAAATCCACCCAGGCCAGACAGCAAGGTCTAAGGACCCTCTCTCCCTGCAACTTCCTTTTCTCACCGCTACCCATTCCTTCCCTCCCAGCAGTCCTGGGCAAGCTTCTCTAAGCCTAGAATTTGGTGGTCTAAGGGGACCTGAGGGCAGTCGTGAGGGCTAGGAGCACTGCTGGGGTAGAAGTGCCGGGGTCGGCCAGGGCTGTCTGTCTAAATCAGGGGAGGGTGGAGCTCACCACCCTGAGTTACTCACCTGTCCAGGCTGCCGGCAGTTACCTGCAGAGTCCTGGCTTCCAAGGTCCTCCCTCTGATTTCTGAAATGGTCGGGGTGATCACATCCATGGTCATAGAAACCTCTCTGGCTTCAGCTTCTTCTTCTAAGCTTTCTCTCAGTTATCAACAGCTAACACATGCCACTTCTCCTGGCTCTTCCTAAGTGACCATCCATCAGGAGAAAAGGCAAAATTGACTTGTGTTTTGCATACCACCATAACCACTTTCTTAAGTAGATAAGAAGACTAGAAATCCTCCTCATCTCCATGTTTTCCAATCTTTCTAGAGCTTTCTTTCCCCCAACATTGCGTCTACCTGGCGTCTACCCCTGAAATGTTAGGCTGCATTGAGCCCAAACACAAAAACAACACGTTTGGTTCTACCTGGATGTGGCTACCGTGTCCACTGTGGGAAGCACGAACTCATTCTGGTGCCATGCGCCCCGAGAGAGGTGGCTCAGGGAGATGCTATGCGCTCAGCCTCCTGGTGGAAGTGTGAGGAGTGTAGGGGGGAAACTGCCAAGAGGAGAGAGAGAGAGAGAGAGAGAGAGAGACTCCGTGAGAAGCTCATCCCCTCCCAACCCCCAGAGCAGAGAGAAAAGAGCAAACATTTGCCAGAATGGAAACAAGAGAGTCGTCACAGGAAACGACAGCACTGATGTGCTAATGAGGCATGGGGCACAGGAAATGCTGCTCAGCTACAGCAAGGTAGAAGAAGACATGTCTGCACCCCCTGTTCCCTGGGTTGGCCGGGTGTGTGTGTGGGGGGTGGGTGGGGGGGCCTGTGGTCTGTGGGGAGTGTGACTAAAGATGGGGCAAGGTGGTGGGGGATCCATGATTGTTCCTATGGGTTTTGGGGACGGGCTATTTTCATAGACACTTCCTGGGTGATTTTGACAAAGCTGGTCTGTGTTTTCCATTTTGAGAATCTCTGGGGATTACCCTCTGAATGGAGCCAAGGCCAGGTCAGTGTTGGCCATTCCTTCCCGGAGCCCTGCCCTCCGTGGCCCCTGGCGGCCGGCTCTCGGCAGGACTCTTCTGGAGGTCCATCCCCTTGTTGTGCACCTGTCTCAGAGGCCAGAAATCTCATTCCTGGTCTTTTCTCAGACTTAGGCAATTGTTCAGATTTGTTTCTGGCTCCCTTCTCTTTCCCTTATCAACTTCCCGGAAGTCTCAGCCCCTTGGGAGAGTCCAAAGAGAAGGGGCCAGGCCACTAGGACTTTTCCGGGGATGTGAGGGGCCTCTGACCTGGCTTTCCACAGGGAAATGGACTCCCTCCCCATGGCAGGGAAGACAGCCAGTGCCTCAGCACCTCCCATCCCTCCCCTGTGGGCACTAAGGTCCCAGCTCCTGGGGACGGGGGGTGGCTGTCTACCCTGGCCTGCACGTCCAGGTGCCCCCAGAGCCCCAGGGGAGAGGGTGCAGGTGGCCTGAGTGGCTCTCCCAGGAGCTCTGCCCTCTGGGCTCTGGCTGCCATCCCCCCACCTGGCCTTACCTGGCAGGAGCACAGGTGGTTCAGGGACAGCTGGTTCAAGAGCTGGACCCTGGGGCTTTGCCCCCCTGTCCTTGGGAAAGGGTCTGAGTAGAACTAGGGCTCCTCAGGAGAAAACGACCTGTCGCTCCAGGCCCTGCGGCCAGGACTGGAAGAGTGAGCTGGATTCCCCAGGCCTGTCCTGAGCTGAGCGCGGGGGCGGCCGTAGAGGATGGCGGGGGAGCTGGGAGCTTGGAAGGTGGTAGGAGAGGGTACAAGAGAAGGGCCGATAGAACCAAACCTCACGACCCTGGCTGCTACTTAAAAAAAAAATAAATATTTTTTTTCTTTTTAAAGACATTCTCCTGTGTGATCATCTGAAGACCTTGTTTTTTCTTATCTTATCCAGAGTGTCTGAGTCAGACTAATCTTTCCTCTGGTTTCCTGACTGTCTCCCCCACCGGCGGCCTCCCCACACTTGAGGGCAACAGCCTTCTGAAAGGGGTTTCCACAGAACGAGCTCCAGGTTTCCAGACCTGGCTGCACCCTGCCACCTGCTCTCCTTTCCCTCCTGCTTGTGCGACTGCCAATCAGACCCACAAACACTAAATCCGCGTGTGAAATTATTCATCATAGTAATGGAAGAAAACTGCTCCTTCCGGGGAAATAGGACACATGTTTGAAACCTGATGGCTCTGGTATTTCCCTTCAACCACTTTTAATGATTTCAGGGTTGAATGTGACATGTGATCCCAACGTATTAAGATTAGGGGTGCCTGGGTGGCTCAGTCGGTTGCACATCTGACCCTCGATATCAGCTCAGCTCTTGACCTCAGGGTCACGAGTTCAAGACCCTGGGTTCCACTTAAAAAAAAAGTATTAAGATTATTATTATTATTATTATTTTATTATTATTATTATTTTAAATATTAAAGCTATTTTTAAAAAATATTTTATTTATTTATTCATGAAAGACACAGAGACACAGGCAGAGGGAGAAGCAGGCTCCTCACAGGGAACCCGATGTTGGACTCAGTCTCAGGACCTTGGGATCATGTCCTGAGCCAAAGGCAGATGCTCAACCACTGAGCCACCCAGGCACCCCTAAGATTGGTTTCAAACGGACCCTTATGCATCCGAGCAAAACCCTTTGAATGGAAGGGATTGAGTCTGTACTAACTCAGTGATGTGGTTTTTAGTATTACTAAAAACCTTCCAGAATCTTCTGGAAAGACAGAAGCACTGTGTTAAGAGCATCGATACAAGATCAGATCCTAAACGACTGCTTGGACAGGTCGTCTAATCTTTTTGGGTGTTTCCTTGGATGTAAAATAGCAATACTACCACATAGGTAATGCAATTATGAAAATTGCGCTGACCATGAAAAATGCTTTGCTGAGGACTTGGCATGTGCAATCTCATTAAACGGGGGGTGCTATTCTGTGATTATCTTATTATACATTAGGCTCATTTCTTTATACTTAATGGATCGCCTCCTTTGGTCTTCCTCTCTTCCTCTCTTGATGCCCAGCCTACCTTTCTACCATGTGTTCCTCTATTCCTTGAGTGCAGATTTATGGAAAGTCTCCCACCACATGGCACTGGGCACACTGGCTTTGTACATGCGGTCTGACCCACACACAGTGGTGAGCCTCAGCTGGCACCCCCTAGCAGGCACTCTGTACTCCATGCACGCCCCACTCTTGTCATTTCCATGCTCTGGGCCTTTGCACTGATTCATTCATTGTGACAGCAGTTTCTTTCTCTCTCTCTCTCTCCCTCATAAAATTCCGATAAGATCCATTTGAAGAGTTTATACTGGTTATTTCCGGGTTGTGGGGCTTGAGGTATCTTGTTACTTTCTTCATTGGACTCTTACCGCTTGAATTATTATAAGGATCAAGTGTCATTTTTTTTTAAGATTTTTTTTTATTTAGTTATGATAGTCACAGAGAGAGAGAGAGAGAGAGAGAGAGAGAGAGAGAGAGGCAGAGACACAGGCAGAGGGAGAAGCAGGCCCCATGCGCCGGGAGCCCGACGTGGGATTCGATCCCGGGTCTCCAGGATCGCGCCCCGGGCCAAAGGCAGGCGCCAAACCGCTGCGCCACCCAGGGATCCCTCAAGTGTCATTTTTATAAAAAAATAAATTGGTTATTAAAATATATGTCATAAGTGTCACCCCCTCTGTGAAGACTTCCTCTCCTGGAACTGGGTTTGGCTCTTCTGGGTCGCCAGGGCAGCAGGCCTGATAGCTCTGATTGTTGGGATTAGTTGTTTAAATGACTGTCTCCTCAAGTAGACTTTGAACCCCTTCAGGGCAGGGACTTTGTTTTATTTATTGCATCTCTGACTCAGTGCCTGACCATCAGAATCAAACGGGGCCTCTGAGAAGTTCTCTTAGGTGCTTATTGTGGCTGTGAATTCATGGCCTACGTGTCTAACAGGGTGAGCTGTTGAGAAAGAAATGGGTGTCTAGTGTTTTCTCCTGTTGCGTGCTCGGCAGCGAAGGAAAGGGAAAAGCAAGCCCTTGTTATCCCTCGAAGGAAGGGCAACCTGGCTCCTGTGTTGGGTCTCCTTTGCCCCAAGGAGGGGTTAATGATGGCTTTCATATTTCTGGGCCAGAAAAACGCCAAAGTTGTCCTGTGTGAAAGACAACTCCAGCCAGGCTTTGTTCTCGAAGGCTTAGGGGCTGAGGCAAACCACAGCAGGGGCAGCCGGAGCCTGAGCGGTGGCAATCCTCCACATTCCTTATTCACTTGCTCCTATGCTGGAGGCCGTCTCCAGTCCAGGCAAGTCTGAAACTGAGAACAAAGGCTGCAAATATTTTCCTTTTAAGTTCAAGTTGAAAGAGAGCAGGATTAGGACAAAAAGATTTAGAAAATATGGAAATACTGCTCTGCTCCCTGCTCCCACTCGGCCCAAGGCCCTTGAGGAGTGAGAGGAGAATTTGGAAGCAAGCAGTGTGACTAGAGGACAGTTTTTACCCACTTAGGCCAGGCCTTTGTGGATGAGGTGGATTGGCATGGCTGACAGGCAAGAGAGCCCTTTCCTTAGGTCTGGTATCCTGAGAGCAGGGCAGACCTCTGCCTCTTTGGTCTTTCTAGAGTTTTCTGTGTTTGGCAGCCCCCTCTGGAGTCCCAGCAGCTGCAGAGCTGTGGAGCAGAGCTAGCTGTGAGGTGTGTTCAGATGAGCAACTGTTTGCTGACAGCCCCAATGCCGCCTCAGCCCCAGGGCTGTGAGCACAGGCCCCCCTCAGCCAGCCCACACAAGCACACAAGGTTCTGACCCTGGGTCTCTGGGCAGGAAGGAGGCAACTCCTCAGCAGCAGCAGGGAGGGCAAGAGAGGGCAGGGCAGCAGGGTTGGGTGAAGGGATGCAGTGGCATTAGGGATCAGATGTAGGCACAGCACATCTCAGAGGAGGCCTGGAAGGCAGAGGGCCTGCCTGGGGACCAGACAGCCAATGTGGCCATAGGAGTGCAAGGGCTGGAACATGGAGGGCGGGTCAAGAGGATTTTCTTTGTTCCCTTCTTGCACAAGTGAGTAGAATGTCATTTCAATCGCTTCATTGACCAGGGCGTTAAAAAACTTGGCTGGCAAG